CAGCACCACGAAGTTTCTTTGCATTAGACATCACATCTTAAAAAATAGAAAAAATAAAACAAAATCATAATCAAAAGCTTTAAATACCTATGCAAAGTAGATATTTGTGCAAACCCGAAAGGGTAAAAGAAAATTAAATGCAAATCAAAACATTTAACCAACACATACTTGATAATTGCAAGAACAATTGGAGAAGCAGCTTGGAAAGTTAATGTAAAAATAAAGAATTGAGAGAGTTCCCTTAGACGAATGGTGTTACGTTAAAGCGTTTTTGCTACCTGCACATTAGTGTACAATAAATGCGTTTATCAAGCTTGTTTGAACTTCATAGCATGAGAAAAAAGAATGAGAGGAATGGAATACCTTCTCATAGCCCCCTTGTAGTTAGATTCTAAAAACATCATTGTCAACTTCCGATTGATTTGTAATTGAGAGGAATAAAATCTAAAATTGTAATGGAAAACTTTTCTAAATACCTGTAGGCACTAAGTGATAATATCAAATGAGGTACCAACATAAGGGGGTCAAATCCTCAAAAAATTCCCTCTTCTAGAAAAGGAAAATAAAGGTAATAAGATATTTGACTTTGTTTCCTTTTTTTTCAAGAGGAGGGAAATTTTTGAGGAATTAGCATCCTTATTATTCTAGAGTTTATTTTGTTATTCAGATGCGCATGATTCCTAAGGTATCACTCCATGCTGCAACCCCAATATTTCTTATATCTATTCAAACACGCATTTCTTCAGTGATTATTGATTACCGTTGCTTCACACTGCACCATTAAAAGCTAGGAATATAAGGAAACATTTCTACCTTTTACGGCAAGCTATTAAGGAAAAATCTTAATGACATATCAATTAGGGTTATTAAGTAATTCAAATTGTTAAAATTAAAAATGTCTTGTAGAGTCCTAGTTTTTATTCATTTCATCTTGTAGTCTTAGGATGATATGTATGAGAAATTGAACAAATGTTGATGAAAGTATAACTGATTTTAATAAGCAAAAACAACACAATGCAAAGTGTGAAAAGCAAAAACAATTATTCAGCAGAAACAACACAGTAGTAAAAAGACCCAATAAACAAAGTGAAAATTGAGACTTCATAACTAAGAAAAGTCATAAAATAGAGGAAAAGACAATGTTCAGCACATATACGAAATCTCATAAAGAGGTGCACACAACATTGTGTTAACCTCATAATCGAAGGTGTTAATAATGACAAATGAATATACTGACTAGTCACTTGATGCAGGAAAGGAACGAGATATATCACCAAATCGCAGACTCTCAATCAACTTGATTGCAGGAATCAAGTGAATCATGAGCTAATCTAGTAAAGAAAAGGAAAGTGAATATTTGATCAATCAGATCAAATTTCACAGTATGCAAGAATTAAAGGAAGAGACACAAGGAATATATTTCACAGCTTGCACAAATTAAAGGAAGACACAGAATGAAATCTCTCAAGTAAAACAAGAAGGACAAGATAATTAAATCAAGGTAAAATCAAGGAAGAAATATGGGCCAACAGTCAAGATCACAATTTGAATAAGGTAATTAATCAAGATACTATCAAGGATTTCAAACAAATTTAAACACTGATTATCAACAACTATCTTTAAAATGAAAAAGTGAGTGAAATGACTAAACAACACAACTTGATGTAATTAGTTAAACACCACATAATTCACAAAAATGTTAAGCTAAAATAAACCTCCATTCTTGAGCATTGAGATCAAAACAAGAGACAAGATCTAAAACTAACAAAGAGTGCTAAACAACGAAGTTAAATCTAAATACCTTTATTTGTTAAACTACAATAGGTATAAAATAATCGCTAAAAAATTAAACCCAACACTTCACATCAAAAGAGGAAGGAATACGAGTGTTACCAGGTTCTGGGCAGCGACTAGAACTCAATCCTGGACGTGACGAATTCCAATCCCACTCCGACTCAAAATAGTCGCAAATCAAAGAAATTTCAACGAAGAAAATAAGAACTCCCAAAAACTTAGTGGGGTGTTCTTTTTCTCGGCTCCAAAAACTCCTGCCCTGAACAGTAAGGGTGAGGGGGTTTATATAGGACAAACTTTAGGTCGAAATAAATAGGGAAAACGATGTGGGACTCTTGGAAAATTTTAAATTCTTAATTGGGTCTTGGGTCTCTTGATGTGAAATGGGTTTAAAGAATTTGGGCCAAAATTTTGGATGGAAAACGATGTGGGACTCTTGGAAAATTTTAAATTCTTAATTGGGTCTTGGGTCTCTTGATGTGAAATGGGTTTAAAGAATTTGGGCCAAAATTTTGGATTTGGGGTTAAAGGTTATCTGATGGTCCAAATATGGACTAAATAAAATCCCTGGAGAGAGTTTCAAAGGGAAATGAGATGGATTATAAAGTCAGCTAATTACTCAAGCTTCTTAACATTAACAACATCAAAATAATTATTTCAAAAGGAAAGATCTTATTAAATTGTCAGTTTAAATAAAATAAGTTGC